AATCAGAGCACCCATGGTGGCTCACAACCATCCTAATTGCAGTTCCAAGAGACTCCACTCTCTTTTCTGACCTCTCAGGCACTAGGCCCACATGTGGGAAACACAAACATGCAGGCAAGGCATTCACACACATAAAATAAATACATATATTTTTTAAAAAAAAATAGATCTATGGGCAAAAGAAATGGCTTAGCACTCAGAAATGGTACAGGCTCCTCTTCCAGAGGACATGGTTGGATTGTCAGCACCCACGTGGTGGCCACACCTGTCTGTAACTCCAGTTCCAGGGTATCTGATGCCTTCTTCTGCTTTCCACAGGTACCAGGCGTATATGCAGTACACAAACATACAGGGGACAAAATACTGATACATACAGAATAAAAATTAAAGTGAAAAAAGTTTTAAATTCAATCAAATTTTCTCTTGTTACCAAGAAACACAACTATTAGTAAGGATAACCACAGACTAACCAACAAGGACAAAGGCAATCAATCAAACTAATGGAAGACAAAAGACGGCATGGCTATTCTAGTACCTGAGTTGGTTGACTGCAAGCCAAAGCACATAAAGGGCTAGCAAGGCGGCTCAGTGTAGCCCAGGTTTGATTTCTAGCACCCCCGTCAAAAGCTGACCAGAGTTGCATGCAAGTGCTTAGAACAGCAATGCTGTTGGGTAAATGGACACAGGAGGCTTGCTGGGGTTTTCTGGCTGGGTCCCCCAGCCTACCTAGAGTTTACTGGGGGACCCTCTTTAAGGGACTATGGTACCGAATGATAGTGTAGGAAAGTAGATATCCTTCTCTGGCTTCTATGTGAATACATATAGGCACATGCACCTACACACATGTGGAAACACATGTACCACATATACAGTTATATGCACAGTCACACATACATTCATATATACATAAAGAAAGGCACTACATATTAATAAGGGGCACAATTCATCAAGAAGATACAACATTTGTAACTATATTCATACCAAACCTCAGGGCTCCTGATTTCATAAAACAAATAATAATGGACAGAAAAGGTCAGAAATACCCTCATGCAAGAGCAATTGGTGATTTCAGTAACCTATTCTCATTTTTAGATAGGTCATCCAGACAAAGATCAGCGAAGAAGCCTCATAGTTAAATTACACCATAGGTCAAAAGTATTTAACAGAAGTATACAGAATATTCCATTCAACAGAAACAGAATATATTTTCTTCTCAGCAATCATAATCTCTAAGGCCTTCCCAGCCCAAGTCAAGACTTAACAAATACAAAACAACTGAATTTTTAAAGCTTATCATAGTGTAATAGATTAAAGGTAGAAATCAGTACAGCAACAGAAACTACAGAAATGGATGGAAACTGAGCAATACACTCTTGAATGGCCAGAAGATCACTGACAAAATAAGGAAATTAAAAGTCCCAACACATCAGATGAAAATGACAGTACAGCTTACCAGAGCCTTTGGGTACTGCTAAGGTAGTTCTAAGAAGAAAGCTTTCGCCATGAGTCTTCACATTTTTTTTAAATGATGATTTCTAAATAACCTAATGATGTACCTCAAGGTCTTAGAAAATCAGAAGCAAGTTAAGCACAAAAGCAGATGAGGGCAGAAATGACAGAGATAGCAAGCCAAAGATCAATATATAGAATCAATCAGAGTTGGTTCTTCAAAAACACAAACAAGACTAACAACCCTCTAGCTTAACTAACAAAAAGAAAGAGACAGAAGACCCATGATACTAAAACTAGAGAAGAGGGGAGGTTATGTCAGACACCAAAGAAGTTTAGATAATTATTAGGAAATACTTGGACCACTTATATTCCAAAATAAAAGCCTTGGAAAATCTAAAAGAAATGGAGAAAATTTTAAGCATATATGATCTTCAAATTAAGTCAAGAGAATATAAATAAGTAAAACAGATTCATAAAAAAATCAACAACACTGGACCAGTATTAAAATGTTTCCCAGAAAAGGGAAAGGACTCACTACCAAATTCTACCAGGTCTTTAAAGACAAGCTAAAGTGAGTGATCCTCAAACTGTTCCATGGCATAGTAAGGGGGAAAAAAAACAGTACCAATGAAATTGTTCAATTCAACACACACACACACACACACACACACACACACACACACACACACGTGCATGCATGCCATTGACCAATTTCCCACATGAACACATATGCAAAGTTCTCAATAAAATTCTTGCATACCAAATTCAAGAACACATTAATAGGAAACGCCATCACTGAGTTCGTTTCTCTCCAATATGTCAATGAGCAGACTTAAGTACAAAGCTACAGAAAGGCACTTGACAAAAGTTCAACACCCATTTTCGATAAAAGCCCTGAAGAAATGAGAAAGAAGGAATACACCTCACTACAATAAAGTCTACATATGACAAACCTGAAACATAAAATGGGAGAAAAACTAAAAGTGTTCCCTCCTAAGTTGGGGATGAGGCACTTTATTAACGCAGTATTTAAGGCTTAGCTCAAGCCCTAAGCCAAGGCAAAGAGGAACAGTGATACAAATCAAGAAACCAAGAAACCAAATTATTCCTTCTTCCAGATGACTAGATTAAAGATCATAAGACTTGAAAAGACTATCAGAAAACTTCCTGAAGTCCACATACCTCTGGCCAAGTAGAAGGATAAAAGATCAACATACAAAACCCAGTAGGTTTTCTATATATCAATAGGAAACTTGCCAAAAACAAAAACAAATGAAAGACAGGTAGACCACCAAAAATCTATTTATAATAGATTATTAAAAATATATCAGTAAATCTAAGCAAGGAAGTGAAAGATCTCTACAATGGGAACTTAAAACATTGAAGACAGAAAGTGAAAATGACATTGGAAATCAGAAAGACCTTTCATGTTCATGGATGGGAAGGATCAGTATTGTGAAGATGGCTACATCATAGAAAAAAAAGCTACAGAGTCAGCCTAATCCCCATGAAAGTCCCAATGAGTTCTTCACAGATCTAAGAGAGAAAAAGTCCTATGTACAAACAACTTAAGTATACAAAGCAATCTGTGCCACCACCATGCCCAACGTCAAGTGATACTGAAGTGCCACTGTAATAATGATGACATGGTTCTGCACAGAGCAGATTCACATATCAATGGAACACAGAAGCCAGGACCCTTCCAGCTATTGAAACTTCATTTTTGACAAAGGTGTGAAAATCACACATTAGAAAATCAACAGCACGGAGCTTGGAAAACTGGGAGAGTGAAAGTAAGAGCCATATCTCTCACTTTACACAAACAGAAAAAAAAAATCAATTTAAAAATGGATCAAAGACCTCTATACAAGACCAAAAGTCTGAAATTGCTAGTGAAATTATACGAAAACATGGCAAGGTATTGGCGCCAGCAAGGACTTTGGGAATAATACCCAATAGCACAGGAAATAATTCCTAGAGTTGGCATGAGGGATTACATGTAACTAAGAAGCTTGTGAACAGTAAAGGAAACTCTCACCTGCCTGAAGAGATAGTCTACAGAATGAGAAAAGGTTCTTAGCCAACTACAGCACGCAGGGAATGAATATCAAGGCATATAAAAATGCAAACATTGAACATTAAAAAGCGCCCAATCAATAAGTAGATAAGTGAACTGACCAGACAGTTCTCAAAAGAAGACATCAAATGGCCAATAAATGTTTGAAAAAGTGTTCATCATCCTTTGCCTTTAAGGAAATGCAAATAAAAGCATCAATGGGATTCCACCTCACCCCAGTCAGAAAGGGCATCATCAAGAAAGAGTGAAGGAAAAAGACACAACCCAACAACCAATTTTAGTGAGGATGTATGGAAAGAGGAAAATTAACGCTGCTCAGGGGAATGTAAACTTATGCAACACTATTGAAAGCCAGTCTCAGGCATCCTCAAGAAGCTAAAATTAGATCAAGTGCAGGACCCAGGCAGACTACTCTTATTTTACACTGGAACGCCTCCCAGTCAACATCCTGCAGAGATGCCTGCACACCCATGCTTGCCACTACTCACAGGAGCTACATTTGCACAAAACGGATGGACCTCGAAATCATTGAGTCGGGCAAAAAAAGCTAGGCTCAGAAAGACAAGTACGTATTTTTTTCTCTCACATGTAAAAACTTGGGCTTAAAGGTGTATGTGTGCCTGTGTGTTCATATAGGTCACAGAGCTAGGAAGGGGATCACTGGAGGTGAGGAAAGCTACTTAAAAGCACAGGACAGACCTTTGTGGGCACAATGGAAACCAGACAAACAGACAAGAGGGCAGTGGGGGAAGAAGACAGAACAATGTACAATGACATGTATGTATGAAAATGAATTCCACTTGTACACTGTCTTACTAAATTGAAAATATTTTCATTTTCTTTTTTAAACACAAAGACCAGAGGCTGAAAGAGAGGCAGGGCTGCTTCTTCAGCACAGCTACAGCTTAAGCCTGCTTGGTCTCTAACTCTGCCCTCCCGACACTGGGCGTGGAGTTCACCAAGTTCCTAGCACCCGTCCCTGGTGTGATGGACAGTGACATAGTAGGCTTTCCTTATTCACTGGGTTTCTGGCTGAGTAATGAGGCTCTCCTCACACCCACTCTACAATGACAGCCCCTTTCCCAGCCAAATTCGAAAGGGCAGCTAGAAAGGATTTTAAGAGCACGACTCCTTAAAGCTCCTAACCTACACACTCACAGGAAGTGCTTGGGCCTGTTAGATACAAACAATACTTGTAGCCGAGGTTGTCACTAAAATCAGCAAGTTTATCCCATTAGAGTTTCGCGTGGATTCCTGACTGTGGGCTTGCTGTCACAAGCCTAATGACAGACTCCAAGGCGAACACGCCCTCGAGAATAACAAGCTCCATCTAAGCACACACAAAGATCTAGCCCTTCTCCCTCGCTGCACTGGGACTTGTTCCAGCACTGCCAGCCTTTTGTCATCATGTCCAGCAAGGCAAGGATTACAACGCACAACCTCAAGATCTTATTTTCAAGCCATCAATTACTTATATTCGCTGCTGTAGGTGGTGAGCTCACTGTCGTTGTGTATCCACTTGAATTCCAGGGGCCAGCTCCCTTCAGCCAGGCAGGTGAGCACAAGGCGGTTCCCTTCCAGGTGGATCTGCGGCAGGCCAGGCTCCGTTTTGAAATATGGAGCAACGTCATCTGAGATATTCAAAAAGACAGAGAGAACAGAGAAAGCTTAGTGAAGCCAAGATGAAAATAACCCAGTCCAATCAATAAATCGACATAAACAATAAATCAATTACACGAACAGATCTAATTTTCAACAGCAGAGATGAAGCCTAGGCATCCCAATTCAGTAGGAAATAATTCTTCATACTGCAGGAAAAAGCAACAGCTTAGGAGATACTTCTAAATACCAAAAGGTCCAGAGCGCATCAGACATGTTCATATAAGTCTTTCCTATCTAGAACTAACACCAGTCTATTAAAGGGACACACCACAACATTCTTGATTATGGAAGACACTGATTTCATCATTTTTTTAATATACTATTATTTTATTTCATGTTTTCGAGACAGGGTTTCACTGTGTAACAGCCCTGGCTGACCTGAAATGCACTTTGTAGACCAGACTTGCCTGGAACTCAGAGATCTGCCTGCCTCTGCCTCCCCAGGGCTGGGATTAAAGGTGTCCCAGCCCCATTGTTCATACTTTTATGTTTTTGTTTATTTTATTATTTTGTGTATATGTGTAGTATCCGTGCATGTGTTCTTGTGTTCCCCTGTGTGAGGACACACACGTGTGACAGTGCATGAGGCAGATGTTGGATGTCTTCCTTGATCATTCCTGGTAGACGTCAGATGTCTTCCTCAGTGGCTCTCCATCTTATTCACTGAGGTGTGGTCTCTTCCGTGAACCCAGAGCTCAGTAGCTCTGCTATAACACCCAGATTTCCCTGGAGACCTTCTGTTTCCATCTGCTGTGTGCTGGGACTGAAGGCCAGGTGCCTAGCATTCATGCAGGGACTGAGGATCTGGACTCCCATTCTCACATCTGTGTGGCAAATACTTTATTCACTGAACCATTTCCCTACCCCTTAGCCACTGGTTTTTAATCGGAAATCTGTTTTCAAAGTAAAAAATCAAGTTTATAAAAGACTTATTTCTTCATATAACTTTCAGATTCTTTTTTAAAGAAGGAATTATAATAAACACAGTAAAGGCAGGACTCACAATCTAGTCTTTATTTCACACACATACACACACACCCAGAGATTCTGTTTTAGTGTGCTATTAGATAGGTAGCCTGTGGTATATCATGCAGTGGAATACTACACAGCACTAAAAATGAAGCAACTGTTTCCCGCAGAGGAATATGAGTGAACCTCACAGATAAAAATGCTGAGTGAAATGAAACCAGATGGATTAAAGCACATATGTCCATTCAAACATTTGTGAAAGTATTAAAAACAGGCAAAAAGCACTCCATCTGTGAGAGGTCAGCTTAGGGGTTATCTATGAAGATGCTGGAGTGACTGGAGAAGCTGTGGAGAAGCAGACCAAGGTCTACTGCACATGCTCCCTTGTAACAACTCAGAGTATTATACACATAACTTACGGATTTTGTACTCATGCACTAAATTTTTTAAAACATGGAAACAGCATATTTAATGACTAGCTCAACTGCCATCCAATCCTTGATTGGAACACATGGTTTTGCTTCCTCATCAATAGGATAAGTGGAAAGGGGGCTTGGGAGTTTTGTGCTAAGGTCCCACGGATCCCACCGCACAGCTGATATCTCCCTCCCACACTTGCACGGGCGGGCACTCTCCTACCACAGGCTCTTTGCTTTTGCCCCTTCCTTCACTCTGTGCCAGCATATTTCCTTTCATCCAGGTTGTCCTGGTAGGTTTTGGTTGTGTTGGTAGTGTTGGGAGGGGTACCATCTTGACACAGCTAGAGTTATTTGTGAAGAGGAGCTTCAGTTGAGAAAATGCCTCTATCAGATTCCATGTACATAAGTGTGGCTTTTCTTGATTAGCAATTGATGTGGGAGGGCCCAGCTCCCTGTGGGTGTTGCCATCCCTGGGCAGGTGGTCCTGGTTTGGATATGAAAGCAGACTGGGAAAGCCAGGAGGAGCAAGCCAGGAAGCAGTGATCCTCCATGGCCTCTGCTCCAGTTCTTTCCTCTGGGTTCCTTTCTGCCTAAAGTTCCTGCCCTGCCTTCCTATGATACTGGACTATGATCATAGCCAGTATGCTATATCAGTCCTGTTTTTGTTCATCATGTTTATCATAGCAATAGAAACACTAGGACACAGGTTAAGTACCACAGCCCCTCCTGCTGACCTGCCTTACTAACTATACATTCGTTTCATTCACAGCATTTCTTTCGGAATTTGAAATTAAAGTATCCATGGACTACAACCTATATTTTCTCCTGTCTTACACTGTCGAGTCTCTAGCACCTACAATGATGCAGAGCAAAGTAAGTATTTAATAAAATACATTAAATAACAGTGACAGTAGATAGTACATTTTGGTGGAAGAGATGGAAAGGAATGGTAAGGCAAGTTCAGTGACAGACCATGGGAGTGAGGGAGAAGAGTGTATATAGAAGGATTAATGGTTGTATGGCCTGCATGATTTTCAATAATCATGCAGAATGAATTGGAGATATAGCCCAGCAATGGTGTGTCTGTCTGTAGAGCGCCACCAGGGACATAATTCAGTGGGAGAGCCCCTGCCTAGAATCCCCCAGTGTGGCTCAGTGGTAGAGCCCCTGCTAGAATTCCCCAGTGAGGGGCTGGGGTGTGGCTCAGTGGCAGAGTTCTTTCCCCACATGCACCAGTTGTGTCTGTGCCTGGCACCACAATAAACAAACAAGCAACTGTGCATTGATCCTGTGGGATAGACCCTGCACTCAACATTTGGAATACGAAAAGAATAAGATATCGTCACTTTCTCTTCAGTGAATCTGATCTGGATCTCATGCAGGAATATAAACAGCCAACTGTAAGGTGCTGTAATGAAATGTGTCACTCAATGTCAGCAGGAGCCACTAATCCAGGTCCTGTTGGGAGAATCCCACATGCTTTTGCTCTGAGCTGCTTTTCAAGTGCATCCTCGGGTTCTGATTGTCAACTGTGTGTCCAATTTCCCTTTCTGCTATGTACTTCAGACCAAATCATCCACTCCTATGACCCAAACAGTGTAATAAAGCCGAATTGCAATAGATATAACTCTGATGCCTTGGGGTTCACTGAGCCGCAGGCTTTATTAATGGCCTGCCATTTGCTCTCTCTTTAACAATAGAAAAAGAAATGCCACTTCATAGGGTTCCAGTGTCCTACACGCAAGCCTCATAAAAAATACATCTTTTTGAGAGAAAAAAGCTTTAAGATACAAGCTCAAGAATGTGAATTTGTGACTATACCTGGCAGAGAATCATCAATTTAACATACTATACGATGGTTTGGAATTTAAATGACACTACAATTGCATTCTTCATAGAATTCACAGGTAAGTACACACACCTCTACTTTGTGAACAAATTACTATGCTGGGGACTGAGATCAGGTAGGAGAATCCTTCATAAGGAATAGCTTTATACACTTGGCAAGCAAATATCTCAAAGTATCTTGTGATCTAAACAGCTATAGAATGGTAGTTAGCCCAGAGGCTGGCCATTTATTACAGCAAGAGGAGAAAGCACACATCGTTAAGGCCCTAGAATTTTAAGTGTCTAAATTAAATTATCACCACAAATATTTTAGCATAGCCAGCATGGAGATTTAGTTATCCCTCTAATAGTCTTTCCCACAGAAAAGCATGTAGTTGAACTTGAGATTACCTAAGAGGACACAAAGGTAGCAAAGCACAGACACTTTGGAAATAGAATCGGTATATATAACATGCCCACCCCATCACTGTCTCAGAGTACTGTGGCCCCGTAGCCATGACAACTAATTGAAGAGACTAAGACAGAGGTAGCTGGGTCTATGGTAATACTATTGAGCTACTGCCTCTCACAAGTAGAAGGTAGAGGAGTGTCAAGGACCTCATCTGGGACTGTAGCTGTCCTTCCTGCCTGCTCCCTACAGAGGCAAGGACTCATAGGAGATGTTAGAGAACGTTGGACTGAAACTACACACAAAGAGGAGACATAGGGGCAGCTTCCATGAGTTATCATCTGTGATGGGGTGGGGTATTACTGTGATGTGGCTTTTTTTTTTTTTTTTTTTTTGAGGTTACCCATGCTCTAAAAACCCAATAAACTTTGCTGTGAAAAGCAAAATTTGACATATCATTAGTGGCTAGTTGTCTTAGTTAGGGTTTTATTGCTGTGAAGAGACACCATGACCAGGGCAAGTCTTATAAAACAAACAAACAAACAAACAAACATTTAATTGGGGCTGGGTTACAGTTTGGAGGTTTAGTCCATTATTGTCATGGCGAGAAGTATGGCTGCATGCAGGCAGACATGATGCTGGAGATGGAGCCGAGAGTTCTACATCTTGATCCACAGGCAGCAGAAGTGTATGCCACACTAGGCCTAGCTTGAACATATGAGAACTTCACAGTGACACACTTCTTCCAACGAAGCTACACCCACTCTAACAAGGCCACACCTCCTAGTAGCTACTCCCTATGGGCCAAGCGTTCAAACACACATGGTGGACAGTACGTACTCAAACCACCACACCCATCTATAGTGAACACACATTTGCTCATCTCCTCAGGAGAAGCTAACGGAACAGATGGATCTCTACGCAGGGGCACACAGATCTCCACAAAAGAATGTGATCTTTTTGTAGTTTACATGGGCAAGGGAAAAAAATGCCTGCAAAGACACACCAGGAAGAGAAAATGAGTGAGTTACCTAAGAGGAGCTCCTGAGACTCTGATCTGGGGAAATTGCCAACAGTCCGTTCACTGTTCTTTAGGGGGAGAGAAACACCCCAAATTGTAACTGCTAGACCCTCCCTCCCCCCACCAGAAAAATGTGCTGAGTGTGTGAGTGCTTCTGTATGTCGGCAGTGAACTTGCTAAGTCCCTGGAATGAATAACCATGAAAAAGCATGAAATTTCCATTTTCACATACTTTTAAATTGAACATAAATCATTTATGAAACAGGGAGTCTCATTTGTCTGGATAACACAGATTTAAGGCCCATTCAAAGGAGAGGACCAGAC